CGTGTGGGTGTGGATCTGCCTGGATGCTGTAGCTATGGGATCAGAGCTGGACCCTCTCTGGCCCCCTCCAGGTTCCCTCCAGGTCCTCTCCTGGTCCCCTCCTTCTTCCTGCCTTGTGCTCACACTGAAGGAATCCAAGGACGTTGGCCTTTTGCTTTGGGCATCCCCTGGGACAGAGCTCCCTCAGTATATGTGATGGAGATGTGTGTTGTGATCACACAGATAATACTGATAATAATTAATACAACACTCTGGGAAACAGCGGGGAAATTACAGTGCTTGGTAGTGAGGGTTTGGTTTGGAGAATGTCCTCTCAGACAGCAGAACAGGCACTCAGATGTAGCCTGTGTTGCACAGCAAGGCTGTGAAGCAGTAACATTTCCAGTGCTATCTGTGTGGTGAATGTGGCCACGTCATCCAGCTCAGCATTGCTGCAGGACAGCTTTGCACCTCTTGGTGCTGTGTGGCTGTGGACGCCCGCAGCAGAACTCCATGCCTGTGCAGAAGGATAGTGACACATGTGAGGCTGTGGGCTTTGAGGCAGAGCACAGAGCCTTCCCATGCCCAGTGCCCTGACAGCCATAAGCGCTGAGCAGTGACTTCTTCTAGACTGCCTTTTTATCAAGGGAATTGTGTGCACTCTCACATCTTGAGGATGCTCCTCCAGGAAGGGCAATATGGAAAAAATGTCCTTCTCTTTACCAGGATCTGGCTCCAAGACAGTCCATAGAGCAGCTGTTTCTAAAAGCAGTGACCTGAGCACACCGACCTCCAGGTCTCACAGCACACACAGGGAGGCAGGAGCTCAGTTCTGCCCTGCGCTGCCATCCTGGGGCTGCACCCAGCAGAGCCCTGGATCCCATGGGGTCCTGGCAGAGGACAGTGGGTTCCAGACTGCATCAGGCCCTTCCATGCACAGCAGAGCCCAGCGCAGCACACCCTTCCTCAGGGCATATCCCATGCAGTGTTTCAATGGATACAGGCATCCTTTGGATACTCTACTGCTGCTCTCTGACTTCTGAAGCTTTCATACACTGAAGCTTTCCTGATCCCAGATTATCTCACTCAGTGATCTGCCTCTCTCACCGTGAGCTGGGATCCTGTGTACTCAAGGAAGGACTGCTGCCTGTCCTTGTCAGACAAGGGAAGCCCCACCTAAACAGGATTAGAGAGAGCTCTGAAACACTGGCAATAGGAAGCCTGATGGAAAGCAGAGTTGTAAAAACTCAACACACACCGATGCGTACGCAGAGCATCCTCACACAGTGGTCTTCAGGATGGAGAATGGCTGATGTAAATGGGAAAGCCGTGGGAATTAGCACAAGGAACCCAAGGGCACAGCCTGCTGCTCTCCCGCAGAGCACAGCACTGTATTCCCTGAGCCACCCATTGATTTCCCCAGGAGTAAGTCACTGCTAAGTATGAATAATTGGTCTGGCATGCAGCCTTCGGGGCACGGGTGATGGATGGACTTTAACTTTCACAAGTGAGACGAGACCCAGACTGGCTGAAATGAGAAAGGTGCCGACTTTCCTCCCTCACCTGCAATTGAAATGGAAATGAAACCGTTTTCGAGATAATGCAGCCAGCTTCATTCTCATTTCTACTACACACTCTGTCTGCACAGTGCATGCACCCTGCACACATTTCAGGCATCTGCCTCATAGGAAACGTTCCCAATTATCTGCTCTCTCTGCCTGCCCCATTCCTCACAATATGACTCGCTCAGACCGTTACAGGAGCTGCTCCAGAGGAAGTCAGAGCATTTTCAGAGGGATGCTTTTTCCTCAAAACCTACTGTAGGACTGGGCTGAGCTCCCGGGGCTTTAGATCCACCTAACATCATCATGAAACCCTCCAGCGTGCACTGAATCAGAAAGGTCTGCAAAGCATCTACCCCACCCCACACCCCATCCGAAGGCACTTCTTCATCTCCCTGGAGGAAACGACACTGAGGAAGAAAGGATGAAAACCAAGAGATCAAAAACCAGGGGAGAGGCTGGGAAGCACTTGGATCTCAGCGGTGTTCATTGACTGACACCCATAGGAGCACACCAGGTGCCTCAGCCAGAGCATCATGGCTTTGGAATAGTGCAACCGAGTCGTTGGATGCCTTATAGCATGCTGGAACTTACTGAACGATGAAGCTGAGTGAGACACTTTGGCTTCATTGAAGCAAAATATTTAGAGAAGGCTTTTCAGGGTTTATGCTTGGAGTTTGGAATTCTTATTTCACTGGAAATTTGGAGCTGCTAACATTGTTGTTCAAATATGGGATGAAAGAAAGCTCTGCAACAGTGATATTTTTGGCAGAATGGGAATTCTGTGTTGCAGCCAGCCCTAATAGTCGTGTCTTATTTTCCTCCAAACAGAAGATAGATGAGAAACCTTTTAGCTTTCCCTAGGAAAGCTAGAACAAATTGTCTAGCCTATGTTTTCAGAGCTTAATTAGTGGAAAGACGATTCAGTTGACTTCCAAAACCTTTCAGCACCTGAAGGGAACGCCTCCTGTCTGATGGTGGGGAGGAGGCAGCTCCAAGGGACACTCAGCTCCCAGGTGGCTGCAGGGCACCCTGGGCACGTTGGCATTCTGCACACTGGTTGCTGTCTCTGGAAGCGTGGTCCATCAGGAGCTAGTTTAGATGGATCATAAGGCACATCTGATCAAGGATAATGTTACTGGTAGCAGTATCTCCATTAGATTCAGCCCTTGAGTATGCTTGAGTTTTTTATTTTTATTATTTTTGGCAGAATTTGCTCATTGTCAAATTTCCCTTCCCACACCTCTTCTGCACTGGTTTCTTGTAGCAGCCTGGACCCAATACTTTGAGCTGTGTAACTGAAACAATGGGAAGAGTTACAGTGAGTTGCAAACCCAGCAGGAGAGATGGGCACAGAGGGCAGTTGTGGCACAGGAGCCATCATCCAGCAGCTTCCAGCTGTGCCACAGCCTCTGGGGGTGGAGGTGGGTGGAGAAAGCTGAGCATCATCCTCTGTACCACACAGGGTATCAGAAAGAAGGGCATTTCTCCCCCCCCCCCCCCAAAGCTGTGATGCTCTGTGACTGCAGCACAACATGGGAACTCAGGTGGGAGGAGGGAAGTGGAGTCGGGAGCTGCAGGGATGGGTTCCAGGTGTGGCAGGGGTAGTTTTCCTTCTCTCCCAAGGAAACATTTGTCCCAAGGGGCTCATGCACGTCCTCATTTTTGAAAGTTCTACAGTGACGTACATCTCCATAAATAACAACGACCTGAGCTCAGCTCCTTCGTCTTAGCGGCTGCTGAATCAATACCCCAGTCTCCAGTTAATGAAGGCAGGAGCTGAATTAAAGGCAGACCCCATGAGACCAGGAGGAAGGGGGTGTTGGGAGCAGCCTGCCTCAGCCAGCAGTTGCACTCCAGCAGCAATAACAGAGACCAATGTCTTTGTGGGTCTCCACAGGTGACTGATGTCACCCATCAGCACCACTGGGGACAGGCACAGCCAGCAGATGCAAATCAGAGCAGTGAGGGCCCCCCTGTTCCTGTGTGGTAATAATGACAAAGAATCTCCAACTAAATCATGAACGATGCTGTCTGCATGTGGTCTGAAGAGCTTTGTCCCTACAGGTCCCTGCTGGATGGGCTGGCAGAATGAATAATGAAGTAGGTGGCTATAATCAAAGCAAAGAGGAACATCCTGCATCTAGATCAAGACTAAAAGGCAGTGGGAGGGTGACAAAGAGAGATGGCATGTGACAGACAGACCTCCTTCCTTTCTCTAATGAGCTTTCATAATTAGCTTGAGGTGATTTCACAGAATTCTCTGTCACAGCTCCTTTGCCCTTCTGGAAAGCTGCAGGACAACAGCAGCATTGGGGACAGTTGTACCTGAGGCTGTGACCTGGAGCCAGGCGGGTGCTTCGGGCTCAACATGGGTTTGTCTGAGAGCCACATGTACTGCCAGCAGAGGTAAATAAAGCGTGCAGGAGAAAATTCTTCATGACGTGGGAAGAGAAGAATGCGTAAAGTTATTCTGTTCTTTGATGAAGGCAAGGCTAAGCCAGCAGTTAGAATCAAGAACATCATTTCTCTAATCCACATGGCTAATAAACGTGGATAGCTTTTCTGAAACCACTTGACAAAATACAATTACAGCCTGTTGCAGAGCTGCCTGCAAGAGAAACCACTTTGGGTGCCAGCTGCTTTCACCAAAAGAGCCCAAGGCCGCGTGGAGCTGCTGTGATGGGGACTTGAGGAGGCTGTCTCCCTCATATCCTGCTAGCCAGGGGCTGACCCAGGTCAGATGGGCGCCTCATCCCATGCTGGGGTTTGGTTTGCTCTGTAATCCTCAGAGAGCAACAGGGCTGGGCAAGGCTCTGTGCACTGGGGTGCACAGAGGCGAGCTGCAAAGGCAGAGCTCACTTTGGGCTTTTATTTCAGAGTAAACAAGCAGTTTTGAGCTTAAAAACATGCTTTCACTTGCTCCTTCATTCTGGTCTGTTTCAGGGTCTAAGCACAATGCTACAGCACACTGCCCCGGGGGGTTTGCTCCTGTTGCAGTTTCAGCCTGGGTTAGAGGTACAGCGTTGGTGGTGACCATCACTACTTGAAGCAATTCCCCACTTCCTTTTTGTGTCCTGTTTAAGGCATAGTGGAGAAGTTGACTCCCAGGGCTCTGAGCTCAACCATGCCTTAAAAATGAAGGAATCAGGCCAGCAAATATCACCCATTCCCTTTGGCAAAAGTAGGTCACAAGGCATGGACCATTGCACAGGAGGAGGAGCGCTCAAACCGCAGGAGCCCCTGGGCTCTGCTGCCTGCTTGTTGCTGCTCCGTGGGGAGGAAGCTGGGAAAGCAGCAGGTAGCCCAGTCCTTTTCCACCCTTTGGAATAAACATAAACTGAGCCCATGTTGTGCATCAAAGCTGTGTGGTTCAGGAATTTGAGTTTAAGATGCCTGCCCTCCCTGGTGTTAATGGGTAGCAGGCTGCCCAGAGAGATCTCACATCACATCTGGTGCAATGGGACAGAGCAGCTCTGCAGGAGCCCAGGGGGCACCAGAGCACACTGCTGCCCCAGGGAGCTCAGGTGTGTGCTCCGAACCCATCTCACCCCATTTCTCTGCTTAGACCTGAATACTAGCAGCTTCCAGAGCACATCACCCGTGACTTGGGTCCTCCTATGTGATAATGCATCCTGCAGTGCTCTCATAAGGGAAGTTCCCTCTGAAAGGGACAAAGGTGCCCTTAAAGGAGCTGGGGAGAGGAGCATGAGCAGGGCCATGGGGATGGCCAGCTGTCAGCTATTCCTGCCAAGGGATATTCACACATCTGCTACTCACTGCAGCTTTCTTTCCCCCTTTGGCTTTAAAAATGACACTTTTAGAGATATCCAAGGAGATCAGCCATGCTTTCTTCTGGAAAAGAAAAAGAATTAAAAAACACTGGGGGAACCAACAGGGTGCAGGGACACGACTCCCATCACCAGAGAAGGTCTCACCAGGTGTGCAGGGGGTGAGCATTCACACACAGCTCTCCCCTTTCCAAGCCCACCTCACTCTATCCTTACCCCAACCTCAGGAGAGTTCATGCTGAAGTTACAGCAGCTGAATCATCCTTGATGCAATCTGCTGGGAAGTACAGCAGAGATGAATCCATAGCGATGAGCGCTCTGATTCTTGCTCAAAGAAAAAGACAGCATTCTTGCCCTTCCACACATGAAGGATGGTCTTGTCTCCAGATGGAGCTCACAAAGCCCCAGTGAACCGAAGGAACGTCCACTGGTAGCCTTGTAGGCCAAACAGTTATTTTGTTAGAGGAAACACTTAAAACTAAAACTTTGCAGAATTTCCCCTGAGGTTACAGTGTTTGTTTAGGCTTCCTCAACCAAAGAATCTCAATCAGCAGAGCTGCGAGCCTCCCACACACATTCATTCCTCACACATCCCAGGCACAGGCCATCCTCAAAGTTTATACAGCAAACAACAACAGAAGAAGAGCTGCTCCCCCCATATATCACAGCCCGGAGGCTGAGTGGGGGCGAGGGAGAGGAGCGGGATCTGAGCTGAATGGGGGGAACAGGGAGAGAGCACAGAGCCCTGCTGCTGCTGCTGCCCTGGTGGGAGAGGGACTGGTGAAACAAAACATTAACTCCAATCTCATACTTTTCTACCTAAAAGTAACACATTATCAGGGCACAGAGGCTGCAGCAAGCCCCAGCTTATCACACCAGAGGGAAAGCTGAGGATGGGCATCTGAGAGTGACAGAGGCCAACTTTGAACCATGCCTGGTGATTGCTGTGTTAGAGTTGGTGCTACAGCTGAAAAGATTATCTTGATGAAAACGGGAAAAGAAACAAACAAGGAAGGAATGCTCACCTGCATCCAAAGATCTTAGCTCACACGAAAGACTCCACAGAGGAGGCACCTCCAGAAGGAGATCCTGCCCCAGCAACAGTCAGCCCTTAAATGGGGTTCAGAAGGGGTGCAGCCAGGCTCCATCCCTTTTGGTCACACCACTGAATTGCCTTCACCTGTGCTCCCAGGGCTGACCAGTCCTTTCCTCAGGTGATCAATCAGTGGTTCAGGCCATGACTCAACAGTTCCCATACAGCCTGTAAGCTATAAAGGGCTTTTTGGAGACAGAGGGATCTGAGGGTGACATTTGGACCTCAGGATTGGTCTGGAGAAAGTGGTATTGATTTCGAATCGAGTTGTGGCTGTGCCAATGCAATTTGCACTTGTATAACCTTAATGATAATCCAAAGTTAATTTCAGGTTCCCTCTCAGCACTGCTGGAACTGCTCCCTCCATCAGGCAGTGGTGCACTGACAGTGCTGCAGAACAGACCCAGAATTTCCCAGAGGTGTTTGCACCCCCAGGGCACTGCCTGCCCCAGCTGCAGGCTCCCAGCTGGGCTTGGGATGCTGCTCCTTGCTCTGCTCCTCACTGCTGGTAAAGGCTGCAGGCAAGTCAGGGCTAGGAGAGCAATCAATTGTTCATTAATGGAGTTACGGTAAAGATGTTATCCAAAACCACCGTGGCTGCCTAATTATTCATAACATCCCTCTGGAGATTCTCCTTTTGGCAAACTGTGAATCTGCTGCTTTGTTGTCATAATAATAGCAGTTGCAGGGCTTTAAATGAGAGGGTACAAATTACTGCGCAGCCACTGACAATATGGCAACTACTGAGTATTGGATTACATGGCAATTTCCATGAAATATCCAGGTTATTACGTAGTAAGTGCCATGTCATTACCGGCTAAATGAATGATTATCACCCCTGCTTGACAAATCCACCTGACAAGTTTTGCCTCCCAATCAGATGTGGGATGTCTGCGGTCGGAGCTGTGCTCCCAGGAGAGCAGTGCCAGGGATGGATGCTCTGTTCCATCCCCAGCTCTGCCACATCCCACCTGTGGGACTGCGCTGCGTGCTCCAGGCATGAAGCACTGAGGGCAGCCTGAGAACGCTTTACAAATCTCCTGCTGGTGAAAGCAGTTTGAATGCTCCCAAAAAGGGAGCTTGAGAGCTCAAATGCAGCTGGAGGGACTGTTTAAAACTTTGGAGCTAATCCTGCAGAAAATTATTTGCAGTCTCCTCTCAGCTTTATCATTTCTGTCTTGAATATTACGAGGCGAGTGCACATCAGCTCTGCACATGCTCTTGCTGCTGACTGACAACTTTGTGCTGTGTATAACCTAAGGCCACTTGGAACTGCCACTGACCTGATCCAGTTTTCAGACACTTTTGGATTAGCCTGTGTGAGGCTTGATCAGATGTGGTGGATTTAGGGAGCAGGCAGACATTAGTGCAGGACATGGACTCAGCTGTTTGTGTAGCTCAGGTCTTGAGAATGTTCTGGATCTTTGTATGGAAAGATCTATAGAAAACTGCATCTAATCTTTACATCTTTCTCTAGAAATCTCAAGACCATGCTTGCAATGTTTGAAATGCATCCAGCATGAATAGGAAGGGATGCACAGCACTCAGCATAGCTTCCTAGATGCAGAGCTTCACACTGATCAACAAATACTGAAACAACAAACACAGACATTCAGGGGAGGTCTGGAACACAAATGGAAAATGTTCAGCCTTCCTCCAGCAAAATAATTGGAATGGCTCTGGGAGCAGCCCGAGGCATGGCAGAGCGATGCAGCAGCAGCTCCTGCAGTGGCTCAGGGCCGTATGGAGCCATGCAGCCCCGCAGTGCTGGGCTGTGTTCCTTCGTGTGCACTGTGTCTTCGTGGGCACTCAAACACTGGCTCTGAAGCTGCAGGTCTCCCCACAGCCTGCTCATAATGCTCTGCCCTCCTCTGCCCCTCCTGCTGGGAACTGGCCATCCGCATCAAGCTGTGCAAGTATTTCTCCAAACTTTCTGTCCCAGGCAGACTTCAGAGGTAAAAAGGAACCTCTCTTAGATACTGCCAAAACCCCGTGAGCACCGAGTGCTGCTTTCGTACACAGATCACAGGCTGAGGGGGTTCTTTAGCAGGATGTCTGTGTCTCCATTCTGTCCTCTGTTCAGGAACTTATGTGCAAACCTGCTCTAGTTTGGTCCTGCAGAACAAAGCTTCAGAAGCCCCAGGAACCTCCTGTACTGCACTGCCAGAAGTACCAGCTTCAATGCTGCGGTAATTCCTGGGTAATTAGCTTTGTGTTTTTCTACCACCAGTGAATAACGTATCACGAGATCATCGTCAGCCTCTTGGTGTGAAGATAATTATCCTTCAGTAACTTTAAAGATAATTATAATCCATAAGGAGAAGTCGTTTTCTGGGCCCATGGACAGTTCAGCATGGGCTGCAGTAGGGATCGCGATGCTCAGAGATCTGCTGCTGCTCCTGTTAACATCCAGTACAGGACTTCCCCATAAGCCACAGATGAAGGTGCTGCCCTCCCACCCATGCAGGCAGGGTGGCTGCTCAGGCCCAGGGCCAGGGCTGATGCTGTTGTCTCCCTCTGCTCACCAGGAGCCACGCACCCTCATTTAGAGCTGCAGAAGATGCTGCTGCAGCTGCTGGGGGGAACATCAGCCTTCAGCAGGCAGCACTGACATTTAGCATCAGATTCCCCCTCCCATTTCTCTGTGCGAATTTCTTCGGATGCCTTTCAAAGTGAGAAATAAATGGTGTATTAGAGAGGAGAGAGAGACGAGCATTATTAGCTGTTTATGGCAGAAATTAAGACTGTTCATTAGTAATCACGGCACTGGCAGTGTCGGTCTGCTGACGCCAGGCAGCACTACTGGCAGCCCCTCATGCCCCAGGGTGTGCTCCCCTTACCTCCCTCTGCCTGGCACCTGCTCACATCTTCCTGCCCTTCTGCAGAGGCACCTGAGGGACTGTGAGGAAATGCCACCGCTCTGACTGAAGCAGCAAGCTGGCTCTGCTTCCCAAATCTGAGTCACTCCACGTGTGCTCAGCATCACTGCAGCAGCTCAGGGTGGCTCGGTGTGCTCAGCCCCGCTGGGATGTGACCCTGTGTCCCCACGCCAGGTTAGGACAGCCCTACTGATGGCACGTGGGGCCACGAGAGGAAGGGGCCAGCAGGACTTCAAAGACTCTGTATCTCCTCACACAGCTGCCATAAAAAACAATCCAGGTTTCCGCTCCCGAGTCCCAAGCTGCCCTCACAAGGGACATCTCTCAGGGCAAACGGATAAATCTTTCATCTCTTCGGTCTGGGTTTTATTAAATGCCTCGCACGTACATGTAAAATACAGAATGCTGATAAATACTGGCTAGTCACAGGGAGAGACAGATAGAGATTAACTCGCTGTATTAACCAACAGTCTACTCCTTCCATTGAGATAGCAAATGCTGAGATGTGCAGACACCAAAGGGCTCTGCCTCCCCCAGCTGCGCCCGCAGTGGCTCCGGGGACAGAACACACACCCTGGTGGCATCCAGGCACAGGGCCAGGCTTGGCTATACTGCAGGGCTGGGTTAGGGAGGATGGAGGCTGAGGGACTTTATGTCACCTGGCCCGCAGGACCCTAACAAGGGATGCTTCAGGAAGAGCCCAGCTTCCCACCACCCCAGTAAACCTGTATGGATGTCACTGGGCACGCAGTAGGGCTTTGGCTGTATGTACTAATGCAGTCTCGGCACTCAAAACCAAAGCTGCTCGGGATCTGGCTGTTTGCACCCCTCTGGGCCAGATGCCAGTGGTCATTGCAAGAGAACAAAGCAGTCACCCCAAGAGCTGGAATAAATGAAAATAGGAGCAAGAAGCCCAAGACTGAACTTGAAATGCCCTTTGGGATTGCCAGGCGCTTGGGGCTTTCCTAATCAGTAACCGATCCGTTCCCTTAACCTCTGCAGTTGCAACAAACACTTCTAAACAGACAGATTTTCCATTAAGCCAGGAAGAAATGGCAAGCAGCCTTAATGAATGTCAAAGTTAATACCACGTTTGTTATAGACTGAGACTGCAATGTGATGGTTTTATAAACCCATTCCTTCATTACCGTTATCAATATTATCCTTGGTTGATTCCCGTCTGCCAGCCAGCTCCATATCCCGGCAGTCAGCCTTCGTCTGTGGCTCCTTTACTTGGGAGCTGGCTGCTGGGGGATCTGCAAGCCATCCTGTACCGGTGCATTTGGAAAACAGTAAAAAGGGGAATCAAATAAAATAAATAAGGCAGGTTGAGCACATAAAGCGTATGTCTGAATGAGTGCTCAGTGCGAAGCATCAATGGAAAGGCTGGGGCTCTGATTGAAACCAGACTCAGGAAAGAAGGACTGTAAACGTTTTTTCACTGCCTGTCCTAAGAAATTTATGTCTCACCCACTCCATCATATCCTTCAGGGCTGCCTTTTTCGCAGCTGTCTTCAGAGACCGTCCGCTGAGCCCCTTATGAAGTCCACTCCATGATGTCACCCGGAACAATAACTCACTCACCTCCAGCATTGTGCTCTGCAGAGGTACCCTATAAATAACGGGTCGGGTTGGGGGTGCGGCGAGGAGACCCTTGCTAGGAAACCCTTCCTGACATCGGAAGGGCAGGGAGAGAAAGTCTGTGTGTGTGGTGGTGGGGAACCGGAGCAGGTTTTGTTCGTCAATGAACGTAAAACCGCAACGGCCCAAAGTAAATGGGGCAGAAAAATCACTGACACTATTTCCAGCAGAACCTGCTCAGGAGAGCCAGGTCTCGGCCCCAGCTGCCTGCATATCCATTATACCCACCAAGTCTCACCGTGGCCTCTGAAGAAATCAGAACCGTCTGTGGGAGTGCATGGGCTGGCCACTCCTCCAGCCCAGAAGGTCGTTAGCTGCGTGTGATTAAAATGACTCAGCAACTGGGATGAGTTCTTTCTTCAGTAGCACCCAATTGGTCATGACTAAAATTTGCTCTGACTTACGGGGTTTGCTTGGGGCCCATATCCTGGTCAAGTTGCTGCTCGCCCATCACA